CAACAAACTGAAATATTCATTTTAATTTACTTTAAATGTCTCATAATCATCTATATATTTATTAATATGCTGACCTATTATTTATCCATCTTTACTTCTTATTTATTGGATTATTTATATATTCTGTCATTTATTTTCTTATTTTTTCCCTTCCCAGATGTTTCTCTCTGTGACTCTGCTTGTTTTTTCATCCATCCAATGATTTTCCATTTAACAGGTAAATTTTGTCCATTTAAACAAGTTTATAAAATAAAACACTGATTCTAGATCTAAAATATAGATTAAAAAAGCTAAAAAACTTAAATCTGATCTTATGATAAAAAACACTTTAAACCCCTAAACAGAACGACTGTGATCGACTATTTAATCCTAATTTATTCCCATGTGTAACTGGCTGCGTATAGAGCGGCTCTGACTAGGCAGGATGAGCAGATCTCTGCAGATTATTTTCTCTTCTGTCTTATAAAAACTATTTCCCACATTTGACTGCAACAGATTATGAAAAGTTAACATAAAAACCCACTGATGCTCTAAGTAACGAGTCTGTGCAGCATCTAGAACCAGAACAGATATTAAAACATAATGAGATCTACATCTAAAGAAGAGAAAAACGCAGCAATAACCTCTGTGGGACGGTTTCTATGGTAACTGAGGCAGAGAGGTGATTCTCAGAGAGATCTGGGAAGTTTATCCAACTTTTTCTTTCTTTTTTTCCATAAAGTGGTGATAGAGATACGCTGCACTGACCTGCTCTGTCTGCAAACCCCACTTATCTAAACGCTACGATCTTTAATGCTACGTTCAGACTGCACGCCGCAGAAGCAGCTGGTTTACATGCATAGTCGATGGTTGACGTGCATCAAGGCGCATCAAAAGGTCCTAAGGCGCATTTTTAACAGCTAAAGCAGCGCGTAACAAGCATCTGAGGTGCGCAAAACGCTGCTCAAGCAGCAGCTGCTGGAGTTGGAAAATTTTATTTTTGCTTGTAAACGCGCCTCATCAACCAATCAGAGGAGCTGATCTGGGAGCTGGCAGGGAGTCAGACGCAGCACTGCTGATGCAGAGCGCTATGATCACTCCTCTGAAACAGTTTATTAACGCCTAAATTAATTTAAAATGTAGAAACCTGCTCTGCACAACGCGCATCACACCCACTTTACCACCGTGCAGCTAGAGCAGCAAAGATGCTTCAGAAATAAACTAAAAGCATCAGAAATGAAGCAGCACGGCATTTTAGCTGCTTCTGCTGCGTTCAGTCTGAACGTAGCATTACATTTTCTGTCTGATTGGACGAGAAATCTGATTTATTGTGTTCTGACCTTAAGAAGCAGCTCATCTCATTGATCTGGTCTTTTCTTTTCTCACCATGCAGAGCAGAGAAACAACAGAGGGGTGGAGAACAGATCTTTATTTAGAAAAATAAATCCCATAAACAGTGAGGTCAGCAGGGGGCGACATAAATAACACAAACATCATCAAACACGCGCTCAGCTTGTTTTCTGTTTATTCTGACAGCAGGACAGCCTGGAGCGACAGGAAACCATGACGGCGGCGGGATTAGGCCGCCGCTCCATTTTCACTGACCAGACAAAAACCTTCCAGCAAACAAAGAGCAGAGAAACATTCCAGCTCCGCTTCACACAAAGCAGCACATCAACGAGGTCACCTGACTGCGACCTTTAGGACATACGGCAGCAGAACACGGTTTAAACTTCACACGTCAGCAAGAAGCAAAGATCAGGATTTAAACACAGAAATCCATAAATACAAGACAACAAAAACAGCAAGTTAGCTTTAATGCAAAAAATGTTAATAAGTAACTTTTACCTAAAAATAAGTGCACATTTTCCTGAATTTAGAAGGTAAGTGAGAAACTTTGCCAATGCAATAAGACTATTTAGATTTAAAATTAGAAAAAAAAACAATTTCTGTTAAAAAATGCTCATTCTATTGGCAGATCATCTTATTTACCTGCTTAAATTAAGGCTAAATACACTTAATTTAAGAAATGTTGACATATATCTGGATTGTTTTTGCAGTGTGGTTCAGATGGTGGAAACCGACCAATCAGGTGAGAGCAGCGCTGCAAAAACGGTAAATCTAAATAAATCAGTTTTTCTTCAAATAAGTGCATTTTTTTCTTGAATTTAGCGTTTCCAATAGAAAAAATAACAATTTACATTTAAAATAAGGAAAAGCAAATGCAGGCTTTTATTTCAAGTGCATAATATCTAATTATCTTATTTAATTAGTAAATATACTGATTCCATTGGAAGATCATCTTATTTACATCATCAAAATAAGGCTAAATACACTTAATTTAAGACATTTTTACTCATTTTCAGAATGTTTTTGCAGTGAACAGCTGGGATCTGTGATGCATTCAGGTTCATCTTCCCTCTGCATTGCAAAAACAATCCAGATATATGTCAACATTTCTTAAATTAAGTGTATTTAACCTTAATTTGAGCAGGTAAATGAGATGATTTGCCAATGGAATTAATATTTTTACTCTTGAAACAAGACTATGCAATGTTTTTTTCTTATTTTAAATATAAATTGTCTTGTTCTATTGGAAAAATGTCTTACTTACCTCCTAAATTCAAGAACAAATGCACTTAATTTAAGAAAAGTTGTCTTATCTAATTTATTTATTGTTTTCCCCAGTGTAAGGTCATCATTGAATCATATGAGGACGTCTGCAGGGCGGTTCTGTTGGGTCATCAACCAGCCGGTCGTTTTTTCCTCTGAATCTAGAAAACCTCCTGAGTTTTAAATCCTTATTTTGCTCTTATTTATTTACAGCTGTGGTGTAATTTCATTATTTTACCAGAATATTCAAACACAAATATTTTAACAGATCCAACATTAGAAATTAGAAAAGATCCAATGTTTTCAAGTGATTCTTTACAAACTAATTTATTTCAGCAGTTTTTGGATGCAGCCTTTGATTTTACTTCATACAGATAAAAACAGGTTTTTAGTTCGCAATTTGGGATTTACAGCTTTAGCAAACCCTAATTTCCTGGAAACTTCACTCAAATATTTAAAATTTCAGAAGCAGCAGCTGCTGGAGTTGGTTTAATGTAACTTTATCTGCTGGACGCGCTTCATCAACCAATCAGAGAAGCTGATCTGGGAGCTGGCAGGGACTTTACGATTCTTGAGCGGGAGGTGGTTGTGAGAGGCCGATCGCCCCTCGTTACCCCCTCTATGCTACACTACGCACGACGCATGGTCAGGCTGAAAGTCGGCGATCGAAAAATTCTGGCACGACTGGAAAATCGGCCCAAATATCGCAGAGTGTGCGCCCGGCTTTAATGTGGACAAGCAGCAGAAATGAAGCAGCTTCT